CGTTTACTTGATTTATACGTAGAACTATTATTTCGAGAAATAGTTAAGGAATACTTGCGATAATCAGCAATAATAAAAGACGCTGTGAGTCGACGTAAACAACGTTATCAATCAAATCACCGTAGTAACAGCCCTGCCTGCAACGAGAACGGTGGCAGCAACAGCAGCTTGCGAAGCTTGAACATTGTCTAGAGCCTCGGCCGCGTCTGTCATCGCCATTGCCACATTACCCTACCGAGTGCGCGTGACGTCGAAGTGCCACGAGTAGCAACTAGCGAGTACCTATGCTATTTGGTCCGCCATACAGCGTCTGCTTTTATTTATCTACTTGCGAACAACCACCCCACCAGTTGAAAATACTTAGTAGTTCAAGGTACAGAGGCTAAGACCGGAATTGTTCGTTCGTTTGGCCAGCTGCTTGTTTGGCTGACCTATTCAAAATGATAAAAAAAAAACGTGAAAATAAAAGGTACGCTACGTCAGATTTGTGTTCACAATACGAAACGAGGTGCAGGCCGTGGAATCGGAGCGGTGCCAAAGGCTTGAGAGGAAAGCGATGGGCAATGAGATCGAATAGGATTTACCTTTCGCGATTACCGGCGCTAACCACTGCTGCCACCCACGTATGGTAGTTTGCTTAGAGGCAAACAGTAGCTAGTTGTTTATCTGGAACTTGGTTTTCGCACTAACCCGATTACCAGTTGACTCGGTAGCCACGCGGATGTTGATTGATAAGTCTCGCCAAATGTCGAAGGTTGGGAGTAGAGGTCACAGGGCAGCGCTTAGCCCGGGGGGCGAGCAAAGAAAAGGTGCGAAAGAATGTGATAGTTGTAAAGGCTAAATACCGAAAAGGCTGTCACGACGTAGCAGTTACGTAGTTCTCGACAAACAAAATCTTAAAGCGTCGAAAAATCCAACCGATAGCCGGGTCAACGCGCTGGGAAGGACAACTCTCCGCGTTTACACGTATTTTTAATTTTTCTCCTGAATCCACACGTGTAGACTCGCATGCAGTTGTATGTAAAATCCAGATCATTCTGGAACGGTTAAGGTGGCTGGCGACCTTTTCTTAATCTTGACAACTGATATTTAACAGCCGCAGCAGCAGGAGCAGTAACAGCGACAACGAAAGGCTATCAATAAAAAGAACGACTTTTGATTCTGTCCATTGTTCAGCGTTGATAGGCACAAAAGATGTCGCTGATACCCTTTCCGCTCTTATGTAGGTGTAAACTGACATTTAGAGTCCGCTGCACGATCCGGTTTCCCCTTCTTAGCAGCAACGGCATAATGGTCACAACTCGGAACTACTCTCTACTGTGCGCTAATCGCTTTACCAGAAACCAGACAGAAAAATAACAAGAAATTTGGTGACGAAAGACATAGAAATAAATAGGCCTTTTGACATGCGACGCTGCTAACTTTTGTTTAATAAGTTCTAGGGAACGGTGGCAATGCTGTGTAGCACTGCTCCGCTCGTTGATGGCGGCTCACCGTTCATTGCTTTCCACATTCACAAAATGTCGTTCGAAGCGTTTAGGTACACATGGAGGCATTCGTACCCTCGGTCTTCACACAGTTCACCTCTCACAGCTCTCTATCAAGCAGCGCGTAATGTTGTTACTTGAAATGTTCGTTCGCCATAGCGAATAGGCCCAATGCAGCGACCGCATCTCAGGTAAGAGAGGTAGCGGCGCATTGGTACAAACTGTGAGTCGTTAGGTCGACCCGCAAGGCTATAGCTGTTGCTGTTTCAACATTTCTCGAACGGCGCAAATTGCCTGTTCACAGCTCGGAAATGATAAGGCTGAAACGGTTCACCTAACTTCAAGGCCGGTCTACCGGCTAGTTAACGAATTTAACAAAGAAACGCTGTCGGCGACAAAAATCCGCACAACAAACTATTGCTTGCGAAAACTAGCGGGTGTTTTTATTTTATAGACGAATAATCCATTCGATGCTGTTCAAGGCTAAGTGGAGTCTCTGTGGGGTCAAGTATATCTGAAGACACTAATGGCGTCCGTTTGTTTTCAATATTGTGTACATAGTTCCATACGTATATATATATATATATATATTTGCTATTATAATTTTAATTGTACTTATAGTTATCTGTACGGCCATCCGGGATCGAGTGACCCGGTCCTGTACGGAGTCAAACAACTTCAGCTTATTATGAACACAACTACTTAACGTAATGACTCATGTAATATACCATTAAAAACTGCGCCGATCCCACTCGACCAGTAAACCGTCGCCGATATAGTACTGCTAACATTATCGATGTCTAGAACAGTGGCGGTGTAAACACGTTTGCATTCGTATACGGCAGGAGAAAAAGAAGAAGGACAACAACGAATCGAGGAGCGCCAACAGTAACAAGGAGTACGATAGGATAATAGTAGTTGTCACGTCGAGCAACGAACGAATCAAAGAACGGCAAGAAGTCGCAGGTTAACGCGTCTCCTCGATTCTCCGTTTGTCTTTCCTTCGTTTGCTCCCTACATTCCAGTTATAATACAATCCCTTAAAACGCCTGAGAATCACTCAGGCGTCGAGCGGCGCCTCTGTAGGCGGCAGCGTCATTGAGAACGCGCGCGGCTTACAGCGGTCAACCTATAGAAATTATTCGACCGATCCGTCAATTTACCGCCATCGTCCGTAACAGCACTTGCCTAACGTGGCAAACCCTCTGCTATGAACGCGCATCCTACGCTGGCGCTGCGTAATCGACCACTGAATCTGTCACATGCTTGTTCTATTGGTAAGTATGTGTCGTACGATCAAAACAACCAATATCGACCGCTGCCGCGTCTGCTGCAACCACTCTTAATTGTAAATAGTTTCAATTACAAAAACGATCCATCCGCGTCGAGCCACAGCGTCCTATCGAGATGATGTTGGGAGTAGACTGGTGATAACGATAAAACCAATAACGACAAATGTCAGATAGAAGAAACTGCGCATTGAAGCTTAGCGTAATATTAAAATAGCTCATTATTTTATATAGACCTGAAACGAGGGTGTCCATTCTTCTATTCGATAACATAATGAACTCGCCTTGAAACGGGAACAGTTTAGAGACCCGTCGACATCAAGCAACGATTACTATAACAATCATTAAAAATATTTATAACCCGAATTGGATATTTAGGCGACAAAAAAATGGCTAAATAGGAAAAGTGGAATCACAACCGGACGTTCACAACAACCGTAACATAATGACTACCTTTACGGAGTTGTTAATGGCATCGCTGCAGCTGATGATGGCGGTGCTAGGATCGATGCCAAAAAAGACGGAAGCTCGTTAGCATCGTGCTTCTAACCCAAAATGTGTTGAGTTTTCCGTCCGGTATCGCTGCTAGGCATTCCATCAGACGGATCGTCCTCAGTACAAAAACGTGTCTACTCCCGGATTCGAACCCAGGCTAGCGCGTGTTTCCGGAGTTTAACAGGCAATCTCGAATCCTATAAAACAACTACATATCATAACAAGAAAGTGCGTTGATTTTTGCTATTGTGAGCCTTGGTCCTCTATCTGCTCCTGTCGTCATGCGCCATGACGAGGCAGCTACGTGGAGGCGTTTCTAGCCGGTCAGGGGGAAATTCGGCGCAAAAGAGGCTGTTTCCGAAGAATGTGTGGATGCTACGCTGTCGAGACGCTCCAGTGCTCACCTACTTACAGCCAAACAATGGACATACGACGCGCCACACACAAATAACGCAACCCGCTATTCACTAAGCGGTCGGGTATTCCGGTTCAAAATAGTGCAAGGGACGATTGGCGATAGTCAGCTAGCTTATTACGGTAGCCAGCGGAAGACGTGAACCGAGAACGGCCGTTACATTACGGAAGTAACCCGTAGTTTCGGAATAAGTAAGCGGACGGGATAACTGTCGCTGTAGCAATAACCACTGTAAGAGTCGAAGTAATGCGATGACAAAAGAAAGCTGCCATCGGTACTCGAGACGTCCGACGACATGATTTGTACGTTGTTAGCGAAGAGCGTGCTAAGGGCAAGGATCGCGTTAATCCGATTATCAAATTGTTCAAATAGAGCTGTTTCGTACTCGTATTTATATCATGTAAGACGCTTCTAACCGACATAGCAAAATATGGCTACTCTATAGGTGTCTGACGGTAACCAATTTAGCCCACTGTCATGCTTAACATGAGAAAATTTTAAACGTAGACTTCGATAACGTTCGTGTGTTTTGCTTTTCCTACGAATCGTCGTACGATTCACTCTCCGTCCACCTGCAGCACGTCAGGAAAAGACTGAACAGGAACACAAAAGGGGATCGAATCTGTCAAATCAAACTGCTCAACAGTTGAGTTTACTAAAACAGAACGGCAATACGAAATTATCAATTTTCGATTTCAGACTAGAGGTACACAGTCTATGTCCTTCGTTCCGACCTGTCAGAAAGGGACAATGATGGAAGGAGTCGAATGCTGGGAGGGGACGCAGGTGGTTTGGTTCGATTTTCAATGTACCTTTACGCCAGTAGTTTATTCTCCCTGTTCCCACTTCTGATGCGCATACGCGACAAGATAATGAAAGAGTACAGCTCGTAGAACTGCCCCTGGGATTTTTCTGGCGAGAAAATTTTGCCGCTGGTCTAAATAATCCGATTAAGATAGATAAGAAGCAGGGAGTCCGATCGTCCCATGGATGGTCGGCTGGCGCTGCTGTAAAACTCGCGATGAGATCAAGGAGTCGGAAACAAAGAGCACCGACTATCGGAATAACTTAACGATTTGGAAAGACCCATAACTTGCTGTTTTAAATGCGTTCAGTAAAAAAGGTGTTGCGTAACGATGATAAGTACAGCAAAAAAATTGAGTCGTAAAGCAACGCATAATTAAATAAAGAAGGTAAGGAAAAAGGTTGACAAATGAATTCCAACTAGGGGCCGAGATATTAACTTGACGGCTAGAAAAGGCTTTTGCGGAATTGGTCGATAGATGTATTACCAGAATCATTGTCGTCACTTACCAACGAAAACTACGTTCTTTTGGCTTGGGAGATGACATGGGTCGCCGAGCGATGTCGTAGTTGAAGCGAACAGAAGTAGAACTATACTGAGTACGGGAGGGCTCAGCTGGCGTAGCTCGCGTGTTGACCTGCCCATCTTGAATAGCTGGCGTCGATTAACGGGCTTCGACGACTTTGTGTCGATTAACCTAAAGAAAAACAAAAGTTATAGGGGAAATTAGTAAAGAAAACTATGGAAATTATCAATGCACTAATATTACCTTCCAACATTTACAAAAATTGTGTTATTATTACTGTTATCGTCGTTACCTGCTCCAGCTGGATCTACAAACATTTTTTTTTGTACAGCTTTGCAATTCTAGTCAGCTCTGCATCAGCAGTCTGGTCAGCTCTATATTTATATTTTACTTTTCCCTGGATTCACATGTAATCTTTTTTTTTTTTTTATTTTTAGTATTTACAAAGTGAAAAGAAACGGCACTTTGGTAGTTTTTTTTTTTAATTGATTTCCACCAGCCCTTGTGCACGACAAGTGGTTACAGTCGTCACATGTCTGGAGAGTATTTACACGCAAGCCTGAGCATAGGCAGTTACTTAACTGAAAACATATGATAAACAGTAGTTTTATATACATATGTATGACCATTTATATGTACGATCAGATAACAGAAGCATGTTTGTGGCATGGGACGCTATAACTAAGCAGGTCAGCGGAAGGAGCTAAATTGTAGGAAAGCGGTCCATAGCTAGTTAGTTGCTCAGACATCCGCCTACGCAGTTATAGTGCCTATCGCACTCTACTGAGTAAGCTGAGATTCGGTCTTATCGATTCGTGTCGCCGAAGAGCAAGAAATATACTATTTTCTGACATTTAAGCGAGAACCCATTGTACACCTCAGTCTCCATATCCCACTCCAGCGTTTTTCAATTATCGCTACAAACGAACCTAATGAGCCAATCAGGAAGGAACATTCTTGTCAACTATCGCGCGTTAATTTCCTCATCCACTTCTATGCGGTTTACCAGAACACGAGCATTACTGCTACCGCTGCAGGGGCTGTGGTGCATTTATGAACGAACAAAAGTTGTGCGGGAACCCAACGTTACCAGCATAAGCAGTCTACACAATTGACAATCCGTAAATAAACACAAACGTGTTTTAACGCTAAATAAACATGGTAAGTACGAGCCGCCATCTCGATCGGATAGTGAATCCACACCGTTGGGATGTTGTTGCCTCCATAGAGTATCTCGAAAGGAGATCAACGCCTCTACAATAATTGCACATGGGTTATTGTTCGTTCTCACAAGTCCCTTCTCAAATCATAAATTGATTGGAAGCGCACAGCTGGGCATTAGATTTCAGTGAGGGTGGTAGACAGTTTCAAAGAAGTTTAGGAATGCTAAGTATGTACTAGAATGAACAGAAGCAATTTTATCAAATTGCCGATTTCGCATGCTTATGTAGGTAGCTGAAAATTTATAATTATTTGGTACTTCTCGCAGTTACATCATAACTGCATCAATAAAGTTGTCCTTCAAGTTCCTCGTCGCTTATTCGTCATGCACTATATTCAAAGAAGCTTGAGAAAGCGTCAGCTTATCCCTCGACGTCGCTTGCCTACGTTGCACCAACTAATGCAGTGCTTTGCCAATGGCTATTACTTAAGTTATCGCAAGAGACGGAACGGGTGTCCGAATATAATACCTATACTGAAAGAACGTACGTCGAGCAGCAAGAAAGAGTAGTCTAGTTACATATCCATATAGGTTGTAGAATCGTTCATCATCTGTACAATTAATGACCAGAAGGACCTCAGAGAACGCTATAAACAAAACGTTTATCAGCGCACAAACAAGCTATGACAACAGGCACAAGGTACTATTTACAGCAGCTCTATTTGCCTTTAACCGGTTTAAAGAGTAGTCATGCGCGATTCGAGGAAAATCCTCATTATCGCCAGCCAGACACATAGCTTTACTTTATATTGGTGGATCGTATCTTAGAGTTTCTATTTTTTCTTCCTGTCCTGTTACATAGTCGTTATACAGCGTTGAATCACCATCCTGTCACCCGTTTGTCACCACTTTCTTGACAATGTCACTAGATGATGTGATAGTGATAGGCCTCACTAATGGAGGGGTGCTCTCGGACTTATTCCAGCTAGACTTACTCTAGGAGTAGAAATGCAGGTCGGCATTCTGGATTGTTTCATTTTTTCTTCTCGTCCCCTTTTAGTATGAATCTCTTGCCAGGCGCGCAAATGGCATACATCGCACGACACATGCTGTAGGACGTGTCTAGCCAACAGTCAACGAGTGGTATGTCATGCTAACAGTTCGACTCGAGTAATTTTTCTAGTACAGGTATCGTTCGGAGTGGATCTTCTGCGCTGCTCGGTTGTGGCAACGCCAACTAACGCCACCTGAGAATAATTCACCTTAAGGGACGGAGGCAAGGTCGACAAGCATCCTCCATCTAAATGCTGGCTCTAAGCTGAGGCCAACTCGGCCATCAGTCACTTCTTAGCACGCAGGAGCCATGTCAGAATCGATGACTATATACCATAGTCGAGCTTCTATTTAGCATAGAGACAGCCGGTTGCAGACGCGACAAAATTGTTAGCGCTGTCAGCAAGTTCATGCTTCTGCGCATTGCTCGGGATATTTGCCGAGGTAAGTAGCTCCATTTCTGTTTTGGTTTTGTTATGTGCAAATCACAACCCGGCACTATATCATCATCACGGCCCTACTCTCTCCTAAACTCTTCGCATGGACGCAGAAACGTCTGCTTCGCTGTTTCACTCTCAACGTGCAACCCACCATATGGACCACGTGCATTCTTCCCTAAAATCGGGCTCTAACAGCGTCATAATAAACACAGCGGTTTGAAATGACTTAAGCTAACTCAGTCAGCTTGAATTGCGTCACAGCCAGTAGGCACCTGCTACCTCCTACCCTAGCTGCTGTTGTCGCTACACAGGCAGTTGTCGTGTAGAGGCTTGATAAATGAGACCACCGTCGTGCGATGGTGCTTGCTGGCGAACGACTTCAAGGAACAATCTCTCTCATTTGGTTGGTCATTTTCGTCGACTAAGGAGATTGAGCGTACAGGGTATTTGGAGCAGTGATTGCAAGAAGGCAATGTACTCTGAGATTAAGCTAGCTCAGCCCCTTTTTGTCTTCTTGAACAGCTAAAGACCTCCCTTTTGTCTAAGTACTCTGCTTCGCACAGCTATGGAGAACAGAGTTACGAGAGCATTCAAAAAAGGGTTACATTTCGCATGCGGCGGATACTAGCTACGTGAACACGCATACATGAGGGCGGACATAGGCAGGTATGAAAGAAAATACAGTTGAATCTATGCTGCTGCTTTTGCAGGAAATCCATCAACGCTTGACGTCAATGATCAATGGGGTTGTGATCTGTGTCGAAAAATAATTACAGGGTCATTCTGCTACTCAGCAATATGGGAACTGCATGGTCGTCGCTTGTGAACCGACACGCTTTTGCAGGTACTAAAGATTTTTCCTTGGAGAAGAAAATTTTGGAGATGTAAGGGGTAGGCCTAGGCCAGCTCTGGCCTCACGATATTGCAACTCGGTGGGAACTACCGTTAATTGCAAATAAGCAGAGGCGTGTGGGTTAAAGCTTAAGGCGATACTAGCTAGCAGAAGCTTTCCAAAGTTCTTCTGAAGGATGTCAACGAATACCGATACACAGAGGATTGCGGTAGTTACAAAGGACAACGTTAATGAGGATCCTAAGATGAACAGTAACGGTTAGAAAAGACAATGATATTCGGGATAAGAACAGATATTAGTAATAATTGGGGGTAGCGACAAAAAGTTGGCCTCGGGTTGAGGAAGAAGAGGGTGGAGGGACAACCCCTTTGCCCGGTGGGTACACACATATATATATATATATATGCGTTTCCCTCCCGCGCAATCTGTCACAATCGTTTTAACACACACGACAAATTTCAAGGTAATCGAATTTTGTACGCGAACTAAATGCCGTTCATATATTATACACCTCTACGTGTGCAGATTGAAAAGGATGAGGAGACTTAGCGAGTAAGGGGTACATGTGCACAAACTGAGGTCTGTTTGAAGGATCACCACTACGGAGGCAAATGTTTTTTTAAAAATTCACATTTTAAAAAACCAGCTTTTTGAATGTTCTTGGCTTCATATAGCTGTATTTTTCCTTTTTAACACCAGAAAACTCATGGCGTAATGTATGTGGCGTATGTAAATGAAGCTTTTATGTATAACGCCTGCAGAGGGGTGATTATTTACTGACGAAATGATGTAAATAGACCGGTGCACATCCATGAGGCAACAACTGATTATCATGTTGTAGCGCATGCCTAGGTAATTGAAACGATAATGATAACAGAGACGCGATCTTATTAGAATAAGGTGCAGTTTCTAGGTAGCAGTTATGTTATCAGTTATAACCTATTAATATATATATATATATATATATATATATGAATGGTAAAATGTATTCGTATTTGCGCATGTTTCCTCTCCGTACGGGAGTAGTAGTCTCGTTAAGGGTGAGTGCAAAACCAGGCATTAGTGGAGACGCAGTGGTCACGATCGTTCTAGGATGATCATTATTGAAAAATTGGAGTAGATAGTTTTCTCCGTGTGCAGAAAATCATCTATATGACTTTATAGATGAAAATGGAGTTCCTAAGAAAAGAGCTAGTAAGTTGATACGCAGGGATACTGTACAACCTGCGTGAATAAATGAGGTTATTATGTTTATGTTTTTAGTATACGCGAGGCAATGATGCGGATCAGTAGCAATAATCTAATAACCAATGATGTACAAACATTGAGTGCTTTTATTCATACTTATTATGTATAATATAATGAAAATAGAGTTGATCGTTCCTTCATCCTATGCAGCGGCTGATATGTTTGGGAAACAGAATCCTAGTCCACCAAGCTTCAGCCACCAAGCTCGTCTCACTTTTATAACTCACTGAAAAGTATGACCACTAATCCAACTATCGGAGATCGCAATTTGAAATGTTTACGATAATATAGATACATACTTAGTTGTACACGTTTTATTTAATATGGGTGTCACGGAAGCATGAACAAAGTGCGACAATCACTCTTTTTACTGGAGGACTAGAACACTCCTACGTCACATACCATACTGTAATAA